CTTGTTGATTTCCCTCAGAGAGTCGAGCTCTTTCAGTAAAAACGAGATGTTTTTGTCTCGATCAAAAGTTGGAACTCGACCAGACGCTGTGACTGGACCGACTTCCTGATGAGAGCTGGAGGAGACAACAAGGTTCAGTTAAACCCACAGAGTTCACTACAGCCTCGGTCTGAAGCACCACAGACCACGTACCCGTCTGACCCACAGAGTTCACTACAGCCTCGGTCTGAAGCACCACAGACCACGTACCCGTCTGACCCACAGAGTTCACTACAGCCTCGGTCTGAAGCACCACAGACCACGTACCCGTCTGACCCACAGAGTTCACTACAGCCTCGGTCTGAAGCACCACAGACCACGTACCCGTCTGACCCACAGAGTTCACTACAGCCTCGGTCTGAAGCACCACAGACCACGTACCCGTCTGACCCACAGAGTTCACTACAGCCTCGGTCTGAAGCACCACAGACCAAGTCTGAGGCTTCACCAGGGATAATAAAGGTAGGAATGATAAACTTGCCCTGAGCTGTGTCTGCAGGCTGCACAGCACCTTACAGCACGAGGGGCAAACTGTGGAACCTGTGAGGTGAAACCTCCTCAGAGTTTCACTACATCTCCTGTCCTGTGAACCGCCGCAGCTGGACAGTCAGGAACACATTTCAGTCAGAGAACCGGTCGGTCGTGATGGTGGTCAGCAAGGCTGGGATTGGTCAGGGCTCCAGTGACATCATCTCAGCGAGTGTTTCATTAGAGTTCCACCTGTGTGTAGTCAGGTCAGGTGTTTTAACCTCATATTATCAGATGAGCGGCGCAGAGAGGAGGCAGCAGGTTACGAGGCGTTGCTTTAATAAGCAGCGACTGATGTTCGCCTGTAATTCTCTCATATCGCCTTAAAGGTCAGGCGGCTTCTTAGCGTAATAAAGCGGGTAAATAAGACACTGTCTTCTGTAATTGACTGTTTCTGACTTTATAATATCAGCTGCTTCTAATCAGCTCCCTCTTTTACTATCTTTCTATTTCTGCCTGCCTCTCCAACGCTGCCGCTAATCAAATCTAAATTTAATAGGTCACATTCACACAGTGATGCAACTCAAGCTGCGGCGCCACTTTCATTTGAAAATGCACCAAAAAGACACAAAAGCAGCAAAAGAACACACGAATTAAAACGTGAAGGATAAGTTTAATGAAAAACTTTTTAATAAATCTCACTGCAGAGGCTCGAGCAGCAGCAGCGATAATAAGATCATTATTTAAAGGTTTAATAACCTGCAGCGTCTTTACTTTGGAAGGGTTTCAGTTAAACAGCCTCAGAGAGTCGGCCCTGCAGTCACATGACCACGGGCAGCTTCTCCTGCTCACCTCGCCGCGTCCAACCATCACTGATCTGTTCTGATCACTTTCAACCCTTTTATGTATATTACAAAACCGTTTAGTGAGAGCAGCTACTAATATTTCTGACATCATCGTGCATCTGCACAGATTGTGACTGCAGCTGGAGTGACAGATCTGATTTATGTCTGAACAGGTTCACGCGACTCTGACTGAAACAGGATGTAGGACAGCGTGCTGCTGCGTGTGACGCCGTTCACACGTCAGCCTGTTCGGGGCCACATCTACACTATAATGTGAACTGTCAATCAAAACGACCAGATCTGGGATATTAATCAGAATTGAGCTTCAAGACCTGCAGAGTGAACGCAGCATTCACACTTTTCAATGGTTAAGACATGCAGTACTATCAGTAAGTATTAGCAGTAGTAGTACCAGCAGTAGTGGTATCAGTAGTATTAGCGGTAGAAGTAGTAGTACCAGCAGTAGTGGTATCAGTAGTATTAGCGGTAGAAGTAGTAGTACCAGCAGTAGTAGTACCAGCAGTAGTGGTATCAGTAGTATTAGCAGTAGAAGTAGTAGTACCAGCAGTAGTAGTACCAGCAGTAGTGGTATCAGTAGTATTAGCGGTAGAAGTAGTAGTACCAGCAGTAGTGGTATCAGTAGCACAGGCCACCTCACCTGTCATCAGGGCCGACCAGGTGTCCTCTGGGGGCGGGACTAACAGGACCTCTGGATGCTCTTCCTCCATCGGGGCCGTCTCCGCAGCTCTCTGCCCGAGGAGAGGGGCCTCGGCTGGGGGAAAGGTTCTTCTCCATCTCCCCTGCGGCTGCTGGAGGTCTGGAGGAAGACGCAGAAACCGGAGAGACAGAGCTCCTGTGGGACTGAGGGGAGGGGGAGCAGGAGACCGGAGGGAGATCCTGCAGGTGCTGAGGGGCTGGGGGGACACAGAGAGACAGGAACCGGTTTTAAATACATGAAGAGAGGAACTCAGACAGGAGTGCAGAAACCATCGAACGAAGAAGAGAAGTGACGGAGGAGGATCTCACCCTGAACAGGGTCAGTGTGGTCCGGACTTGGGCTGATCCCAGATCTGTGGATCAGAAACAACGTGAAAAGAAGAAACGGGAAACAGCTTCTGATCAGACTCTCCTGAACTTCCTGCTCTTCTGAGGAACAGCCTGCCGGGTCCTGCAGCCGTCCCCCAGGACAGACCTGTACGTACCCGTCAGGACTGCTGAGGCGCTGAGACGCAGGTGAAGGCAGACGCTGTCGCAGCTCCACGTTCACTCTGGGGTTAGCTGGAAACAGGAAGCACACTGTTACCTGAAACATGAAGCGCTGCCTCACCTGTCTGTCTCTCGTTAATATACCTGAAACATGAAGCGCTGCCTCACCTGTCTGTCTCTAGTTATAATCTGAAACATGAAGCGCTGCCTCACCTGTCTGTCTCTAGTTAATATACCTGAAACATGAAGCGCTGCCTCACCTGTCTGTCTCTAGTTAATATACCTGAAACATGAAGCGCTGCCTCACCTGTCTGTCTCTAGTTAATATACCTGAAACATGAAGCGCTGCCTCACCTGTCTGTCTCTAGTTAATATACCTGAAACATGAAGCGCTGCCTCACCTGTCTGTCTCTAGTTAATATACCTGAAACATGAAGCGCTGCCTCACCTGTCTGTCTCTAGTTAATATACCTGAAACATGAAGCGCTGCCTCACCTGTCTGTCTCTAGTTAATATACCTGAAACATGAAGCGCTGCCTCACCTGTCTGTCTCTAGTTAATATACCTGAAACATGAAGCGCTGCCTCACCTGTCTGTCTCTAGTTATATACCTGAAACATGAAGCGCTGCCTCACCTGTCTGTCTCTAGTTAATATACCTGAAACATGAAGCGCTGCCTCACCTGTCTGTCTCTGTCTCTCTCATTAGTCTAATCATTAGCGAGCAGTAATCCTGTCGTCACGTCGAGCTTTCTGAACACTTGGACTCATCAGCAGAACAAACAGCTTTAATATCTCATTAAGGCCTCGTTAAAGAAGCCTCCAATCAGAGCGCAGCTCCTCAGGTGTAATTAAGACGAGGCAGGAATCAGTTAAACGGTTGTTAAGTCAAAAGTAAGCAACAAAACACACAGAGATCATCCAGAGATCATGCACACGCTCTGAGACACACACACACTGTCTGAGTGTGTGTTTTAGTATGTACTACACACACACAGTATGTACTACACACACAGTATGTACTACACACACACAGTATGTACTACACACACACAGTATGTACTACACACACACAGTATGTACTACACACACACAGTATGTACTACACACACACAGTATGCAGTATGAAGCTGTTAAATGTATTTATGGTTCAGTACTGGCGGCCAGCCTCAGCTAGTTTCTGGTTTTGGAATTTAGAAGTAAAGAAGAGGAGGAAAATAAATGTGGGATGTAATCTAGCTACACTGTGACCACTGAATAATCAACAGTCCATCAGCAGCCTCTCTGTTTAACTTTCAGACAGACCAACGGCTGTACGAACATTAAAACCGTTGGCTGCGTCCGCGGCAGCGTTCTGATTGGCTGTAGGGATCAGAGGGCTCTGTGACCTTTGAGCATGTTTTTGATTTGCCGTCAATTTTCAGAAAACTGCCAATATTGTAAATCTACAGCCGATTTTCACCTCAAAGCTTCTCAGAAGAGGATTTATTGTAAAGTATAAAGTTCTGTTGTTGGCCTCTAAAGAAAAGACGGGTTAACGTTCACCACAGAGAGGTCGCTGTGAGGACTTCCTGAACCAGTTCAACGTCTGCCAGCGCCCTTTCACAATAAAAGACAAAACCCAGAGACGAAATTAATCAAAGTTTCTTTCTACATCAGGATCAATGTGATTATCGATCCATCTCTTCAGTGTGTCCGGCACGGCGTGTTGTTCTGTCTCCCGTTTCAGGTTTCTGCAGCTGAGGAAGACGCATTTCTGAGAGTGAACGCAGCTTCGGAGTGCGAAGACTCCTCTGGATAAAGAAAGCATCAGTGAGGGTCCGACACGGGACAGGAAGACAGGCAGCACGGCCTGATCACCTGACCTGCGTCCTGCAACACACATGAAGGTCACCTGCGCTCACACCTGAGGCAGAGCGAGTGGCGAGGCGTCAGAGTCGGGGCTCGCCGTCTAACACTCACTGAATCATCTCCCGTCTTCACTTTGAAACTTTTCTCATTTCCTGCTGTCCTCTACCCCCCCCCCCCCCCCGTGTGGACTCAGAGCTAATTGAGCGCGGCGGCTCTTCTTATTATTCATGTACAATTACAGATGTGATAATGTGCTTAAATCCTTCTAAATGACCGTTCATGCCTCGCGCTCGCTTTGAAGTCTCGTCAAAGATGGAAAATCTGCACAAAAAAGGGAAAACACAAAGGCCAATCAGAGGACCAATCTGGATGGACCAATGAGGCGGGGGGGGGGGGGGGGGACTGCCCCCCCGCCCCCCTTCTTCTTCATGTAATATAAACTAAAGTCCATTAATTTTTTAAGCTGTATTTAATACATTTTGTGCAGAAAGTTTGGAGCAGAGAGAGTCGGGTGTTCCAGCTGACTGCATGAATATTAATGACGGTGTTACGATGATTAAAGAGGCTTCAGCTCAAATCCAACACAATCCGCCTGTGATCCGCCCGCCGCCGCCCCGCCACCGCCACGCCGCCGCACATGAATTTAGATACCAACATTAAGCCCAGGAGACACACACGCACACACACACACACATTTACAAAGACAAACATACAGTAAATACTGATACACACACACACGTTTGGTTTTATTACAGCTAAACACTTAATCTATTAATCGATTACTTGATCAGCAGAAAATTAATTAGCTTAAATTAATTAACTATTTTGGTAACTGATTAATCATTTTTTACTATATATATATATATACATACACACACACACACACACACGGCCAGGTGGATTTACTGTACATATCTCAGAAAGTGCAGCCAGCCACACATTTAACTTCCTGCTGTTTCCGATCGTGGACCGACTGACGAGTCGGGTCAGAACCACCAACACGCCGCTTTGTTTATTTAACTGTGCATTAATATAATTTTATTTTTAATCAGACGGACAGACAGAAACATTCCTACAGAGACATGAATAGCAGCTACTTCAGTCTGATCAAACAAACCAGAGTCTGCAGCCTCTTCTAACAATGAGAGAGAGTGTGTGTGTGTGTGTGTGTGTGTGTGTGTGTGTGTGGACCACCCACTCTGCAGATTAAACACAGTTCACACGACCGGCTCCTCCCTCTCTCTCCTCATTCACTCTCAGCCTCGCTCGGCCTTTGTCTTCTCCTTCTGTCATTAAATTAATCTACTGACCAGCCTCTGTGTGTGTTACTGTGTGTGTTAGTGTGTGTGTGTGTGTGTTACTGTGTGTGTGTTACTGTGTGTGTGTTACTGTGTGTGTGTGTTACTGTGTGTTACTGTGTGTGTTCTGTGTGTGTTACTGTGTGTGTGTGTTACTGTGTGTGTGTGTTACTGTGTGTGTGTTACTGTGTGTGTGTTACTGTGTGTGTGTGTGTTACTGTGTGTTAGTGTGTGTGTTACTGTGTGTGTGTGTGTACTGTGTGTGTTAGTGTGTGTGTGTGTTACTGTGTGTGTGTGTGTTACTGTGGTGTGTTACTGTGTGTGTGTTACTGTGTGGTGTGTGTTACTGTGTGTGTTAGTGTGTGTGTGTGTTACTGTGTGTGTGTGTTACTGTGTGTGTGTTACTGTGTGTGTGTTACTGTGTGTGTGTGTTTACTGTGTGTGTGTTACGTGTGTGTGTGTGTTACTGTGTGTGTTACTGTGTGTGTTACTGTGTGTGTTACTGTGTGTGTGTGTTACTGTGTGTGTGTTACTGTGTGTGTGTGTTACTGTGTGTGTGTTACTGTGTGTGTGTTACTGTGTGTGTGTTACTGTGTGTGTTACTGTGTGTGTTACTGTGTGTGTTAGTGTGTGTGTGTGTTACTGTGTGTGTGTGTGTTACTGTGTGTGTGTTACTGTGTGTGTGTTACTGTGTGTGTTAGTGTGTGTGTGTGTGTGTGTGTGTTACTGTGTGTGTGTGTGTGTTACTGTGTGTGTGTTACTGTGTGTGTGTGTGTTACTGTGTGTGTGTGTGTTACTGTGTGTGTGTTACTGTGTGTGTGTGTGTTACTGTGTGTGTGTGTGTTACTGTGCGTGTGTTACTGTGCGTGTTACTGTGTGCGTGTTACTGTGTGCGTGTTACTGTGTGTGTTACTGTGTGTGTTACTGTGTGTGTGTTACTGTGTGTGTTACTGTGTGTGTTACTGTGTGCGTGTTACTGTGTGCGTGTTACTGTGTGTGTGTTACTGTGCGTGTGTTACTGTGTGCGTTACTGTGTGCGCGTTACTGTGTGCGCGTTACTGTGTGTGTTACTGTGTGTGTTACTGTGTGCGCGTTACTGTGTGCGTGTTACTGTGTGCGTTACTGTGTGCGTGTTACTGTGCGTGTTACTGTGTGTGTTACTGTGTGCGTGTTACTGTGCGTGTTACTGTGCGTGCGTTACTGTGCGTGTTACTGTGCGTGTTACTGTGCGTGTTACTGTGTGCGCGTTACTGTGTGTGTTACTGTGTGTGTTACTGTGTGCGCGTTACTGTGTGTGTTACTGTGTGCGCGTTACTGTGCGCGTTACTGTGCGTGTTACTGTGTGCGTGTTACTGTGTGTGTTACTGTGTGCGCGTTACTGTGCGTGTTACTGTGTGTGTTACTGTGCGCGTTACTGTGTGTGTTACTGTGTGCGCGTTACTGTGCGTGTTACTGTGTGCGTGTTACTGTGTGTGTTACTGTGTGCGCGTTACTGTGTGTGTTACTGTGTGTGTGTTACTGTGTGTGCGTTACTGTGCGTGTTACTGTGCGTGTTACTGTGTGCGTGTTACTGTGCGTGTTACTGTGTGCGTTACTGTGTGTGTGTTACTGTGTGTGCGTTACTGTGCGTGTTACTGTGCGTGTTACTGTGCGTGTTACTGTGTGCGTGTTACTGTGCGTGTTACTGTGTGTGTTACTGTGTGCGTGTTACTGTGTGTGTTACTGTGCGCGTTACTGTGTGCGCGTTACTGTGCGTGTTACTGTGTGTGTTACTGTGTGTGTTACTGTGCGTGTTACTGTGTGTGTTACTGTGTGCGCGTTACTGTGTGTGTTAGTGTGTGTGTGTTACTGTGTGTGCGTTACTGTGCGTGCGTTACTGTGCGTGCGTTACTGTGCGTGTTACTGTGCGTGTTACTGTGTGCGC